ATCCTAAAATCAATTCACACCTTAGTCCTTAACATAACACCTAAGCTCCTAAGCCTAAAACAGCATTTCTACCCATGGACGCCAGACATTGGTCCCCACGATGTAAAAATATGCACACAGAAACCTAATTGATCTAAATACATGATTTACTTTTCGTTTTATTGACTTTCACAGTAACTAGATGTACTTGCATTGTTAGTTTTATTCTAAATAACAGATTTTCAGAAGAACCTACCTGACCAGATTTTTTGTTTTAATTCTTGGAGCCTTGACACCACCACCAATGATGCTTGAACCAGTGATGTAGATCCCCCTGGAATGAGAAAAAAAAAGACTTTATATTGGTGAATGTCCAACAAATTAAGTTGAAGGTAGATTGTGGTAACTAGTATTTTCGGGACACTAACACATTGACTGTAATCCACATCGCTACAAATGAATCCACAAACACCTTAAAGACTGTTCAGGATGGCCTAACTCCTCAAAGATGGAAGAACACTTTTTGATATCAAGGCTAACTGCAGACATGACTCTTAAATTAACTTAAGATGTTCAATAAAAAACTCAAACCAAGTATTAAAATGATGCTAGTTGGCAGCACAGAGTAATGTGAGAATCCCAACAATTCCCCATATTTGGAGTTTATAAACATCTTTATTTATAAAAATCTCATATCCAACATGCACATATATAAAGATGGCTTCAGTGGTTTTAAATAATAAACCTTCTTTTGCACCATTGGTTTGTGGCATTAGGATAAATTCTTGGCTTATATCTGCATCAATTAGACCAATATAGCTTAGAATATATACAGATTCAACAGCTCAGTGCAGCTTCTCCATATTTTTCTGCGTTTTCATACATTGCAATACATCATAGTTTTCTCTAAATTAATGTTATGACAGTTTGCATAGTTGTTGGGCTATAAACAGGGTAATAAGGGCTTCCTCTCCAAAGATCACCAGGAAATGAGAGAAGATCTGCAGCAACTGGACTCATTTTAATGATGAGTTTCTCAACTGTTCAGCTGCATCAACGTTGATCGATTGCAGTAAATATTTATTAACCTCAGTCAGTTTAGTTTGTTATGACATGTCTGTAAAATCAGTTTTAAATGATCTCAGACTCACTGATCTGATGTGTTTCAGATCAAACTTAATGATTTGTGTTCTTTATTAAGACTCATTATCGTCCTCAAATATCTTGCTTTTCCCAAACCTAGTATAGCATTAGAAATGTGTTAAGAATTACAAGATGAAGAGATGTTATAAACCAATGCATCTTTAATATAAATTATGCATTATTGATCACTCCTGCATTAGAATTTGAGGGACATTTGCATCTAAAGAAAGTCTTAACTCGAAGCTTGGAGGCTACTGTACAAAATTCTCAAGTTTGATTTTAAACTACAGATGGACGGGTTTTTTTTTCTCCTCGTACTTACCAAGCAGCTCCCACTACAGACAGAGAAATGGCCAGACCAATGCCCAGACTGGCCCACATGAAAGGAGACGTTTCTGTCAAAAACCTGTAGGTAAATAAATAAAAGAAACTTTACACTAATGATTCAATAAAAAAAATAAAAACTTTATGGATCGAGTGCTTTATTTCACAGCCAGCTTATTTCAAATAAAAACTAAACATTGCAGCCCTGATAGGGCTTTGTTCAGGGATGGAAACGGCTGCAGGCAGGAAGGCTTTCCTGTAGCAGTCTGTCCAACAGCGGATCTGGAGAGGCTTCTGTGACAAGGCATCTTAACTTTTGACAGGGGGTAAACTAAATTTAGCTCACTGTGTGTCTAATGTGGAAATTGACACGGATATAAAGAACACACAAAGTGTCTAAGAACAGTCAAAATAAGACAATGAATATCAACATTTCTAGAACCCAGGAATTCACCCTCATTTTAGGGTTGCAGGGTTGGGAATTTGTTGTGTGGTGGAACAGTTTCACATATGATTATTTTTAATCCTGTTTCACTTTTTCCATGTTCTGTCTTAAGAGGAGGTGTAAGCTGCCCTTTTGCATCTTTTTAAATCTTTCCCTATTGATTGTGTTTAAAGTGGTGGGTGTCAGAGGAGATTCACACACTAAGGCCAGCTAAGGAGGAATGTTGACAACAGAATGGTTTAGGCTACAAACAACATACTGTCTTCCCCTCTTCAAATCTATGAAATCGTGTGCACATTTTCCTTCAACGCTTTCTGCCTATGAGAGCAGGAGCCTTCCAATGCTTTATACCTTTGAATACATTTGCAAGACAAAGTTCAATCTGTTTAACTGAGTGGTGGTCTGTCCAACTTTGATCAATAAAAATTCCACAACAGTCGTCAGCAGCGCAAAGCATCTTGGATCTCGCATCTACGACATGGAAGCTGTTAAATGCAGCATTACTGTTGGACCAGGACGGTTTTAGAATTTAAATTTAAAAATAAAGGAAGAGGGCTAGCAGAGGGGAGATCCCTTTGACCTTGACTGAGCCGACTTGTTGACTCAGTTAAGGTCATTTGGTTGTGGCCAGTTTGTCGAAAACATCTTGCTAACCAGTTAGTAACTTAGTGCTAGTAGGTTCCCAATGAGAAATTAAAAACAAGACTGTCAAGGAATGCTATGGACAGCGGAACATGCAAGGGGAGAGTTTTGTGTCGGAGGTCGTTGATGAGTCTCTTCTGTTATACATTTTTTATTTAGAGGAGGAATGCGGGGACAAAGTTGTTGTGGAAGAGGACGCCAGGGCGGCAGAAGCTTGGTTTGGTGTAGAAGGCTTAGAGCCATACATGTTTGAGCCCTTGCCTCGCAACGCTACCAGTTCTGTTAGGTCTACGCCTGCTGAAGACACAGACGTCCATCCCTGTGAACACTGGGGACGTAACTCAACGGCAAAGTAAATGATGATTCTTATTTATTTCAACCGTTGCGTATATTAGCTGCGACATTTGAGTCAAGATGCTCTGACCAAAAAACCCGCTCCTGTGCTGGCCGACTGGCTGGACAGAACACATTGTATGATAAAAACTGTCATATCCCCGAACTATATTGTCATGTATGTCTCATACGTTTTCGACATGAGAACCAGTCCTAAACACAAATGTCAATTAAATAGATACATCTGACAGAAATTAGTCTAACCAATCCCAAAAAGCACTGTCAGCATTTTGGCCTGGTTCTTTGAAGTGTTATTGCTTTATCATCCACTACATCTTAATTTATTCAAAAAACTATTAATTAGTGATAAATAAAACTAGACATTAACAATGGATGGCGAATAGAGGGGGCAGCAATCACCCTCCTCAATCTCCATCCATACTGCAATGTTTTGAACAGTTGAACAGATGGAAGTCAGAAGCAGTAAATTGAATACCACATTCTGATAAAGTACAATCAACTTTAAATTGCTAAAAATACCACCTTTAAAGTGCAAGTAGTTTAAGTTTGGCTAATTGTTCTAATATGCAACAGAATTAAATATATCTATCAAAACAAATAAAGAATAACTACTTGGCGTAGTAAATCACAACTACCACGCCATCGCCCCTACAAATACACCCTGGCACCCATACGGTGCCCCTAGATAGGGAACCACTGCACTAATGAACCAGACAACACATGCAAATATTGGCCAGATACAGATACAAGGGAAGAAAAAGAAAGATGGTATAAATGGGAGAATATCCGTTCAGATCAGTCCTCATCTCCACCTGTTTTTTGTTGTGCTTTAGAGATAAAGGATTAAGCATAAAAAAAAAGAATAATAAAAACAATACTTACCATGCCACATCAAAGCGGAATCCAAGGTCAAATATGGTATAGCATATACCTGTGAGGAGAAGAAGAGTTTTAAACTGTTAAATAGCTAAAGAGAGACATTTCCTTGCAGTGAATGAAAGTGTAGATTATGATCCAGATGATTTATTGGTAGCAACACTGAAAATCCCTTGGTACATGCCTAAAAAGCTTTTTGTTTTAACAGCTCTGTACTAGATTTGATAACCTCCTGCTCGAGGTCTTTAAAAGAGGGGTCAATATCACTGAAGGTATTTGATGTAAACCATTTAATGTTTACTTTTATTGACGTGGTCAAGTGATGAGTGCTGCTCAGAGGATGCAATCCGCGCTTCTGTAAAGCTTGTGAGCAGATGGAATCATAAAGAGCTCTAAAGTTTCTGGGCACATTGCTGCTCTGAATTTGGACTTGAGAAAAGAACAGCTGACCAGCACAAGCAGACGGCATGGCTTTTTAAATGATTATAGTGTCTGAATCTCACACCAGACCTTAAAAAAAAAATCTGTAATTCTGTGGTTCTTCAATACAGCTTCAGAATCTGGGATCTGATTTCAAAATGAAAAGTAAAAGAACTTCAGACCACCAAGCAACATTTATTTTATTTTTTTTCCTTCTGCCTGGGACAGACATTTTTCACACCTCAGGTTCAGGGGTGGTTTAACATTAGTCCATGTAATCAATGTTTATTTCATATGGCTGAAACAATGTGCTTCACTACATAATTATTTCGAGATGAAGGCAATCCTAGTTTCTTTTATCCTTTCTTTCTTTTTTCAAAACTATACTTTTCTCCCTCCAATCAAGTCCTGGTTATGTCCGGACACAGCATAACAGGAACCAGCAATTTCTTTAGCAATGGAGGGACTCTTACCCTCCTTGTGGAGGGTGTCAACTGCTGCCTTTTGGACACCAGTGCAGTTTTATTTTATAACAAATAAGATCTTCCTAATCAATGCTGAGAAACAAACGTTTGAGGTTTTTTTTTTTTAAAGCCACAATGCTGCTAATAGAGAAACACATGAAATGTATAATCTTGTATAAATCTGAAAAATAAAAGACACGTTGAACTAATTCAAACGAATAACTAAAATAAAACATAATGTCTTTAGTTACTGAGATGCAGCTCAACACAGGATCCTGCTCTACAGAACTAATATATATATATATATATATATATATATATATATATATATATATATATATATATTATTATCATATAATATAAAACCCAACGCAACTTAAGAGTTCTGCAACACAGCATGCGGTTTGTGAAACTTGTTTCACTTTGAATAAACTAATGCCCCTTACATAGGGCCCTGCAGAAATCCTGGAAAACTGACATTTCTGCGATGCTTCACACTCACGTGAAACTGCAGCAGTTCCTGTTTGTAGTTTTTGTATTTTGTTCTCAGCTAGGACAGGCTAACATGCTAACGTTAGCTAACCAAACAAATTCAGGCCTTAAACCCCTTTACCAAACAACCGTTGATCAAAATAACCCTAACTATATAAAAAGGGCAGTAAAGTAGTGAACATATATGCCAACGTGTTCTGTCTCATGAATATTTGACATGATATTTTCTAAAAACTTAGCTCCTTGGTGCTAACACCATTGTAGCTAGAGGCTACATTCACTAAATGAATTTGTTGTAGACTAAATCGCCTAAATGTGAACTATTCTCAAAACCAATATATGTTTTGGCATTTATTTTTAAACATATACGAACATCCAACGTTAAATTAATTAGAACAGCTAGCCAAAAAGCCGCTAACAAAGCTAATTCCAAGAAGTAGCCAGGACCCACTGAGCGCTGTTCATCTAAAAAAAATACCAACTATGGTAAAACATAGGTTATGACTAGTAGGTATTAAAAAAGATTTAAAGATCCATTTTTATTAACTCAACTAATAAACATTTATATTAAAGCATTGCAAGCTTACCGACGACTAGAATGGTACTCCAGAAGGCCAAAGTGACCCCCGTGTAAAGAATGGCGTGTCCGTTCATCATCCACTCTAACAACATCTATCTGGCTATCTATCTAAACTGCAACGACAGCTAATTGCGATCAGCTTTAATTAAAAACCTGACATTAAAGAAGCGGAGAAAACGGTGTAATTCTGATTCTTTTGAATCAGTGACCGTCTGTAGAGGAGGAAGAGCATCAAAAGGAGAAGCTGGTGATGTCAGCTGATCCAGCATGTGACTTACTTTACAGTCGTTGTAACGTTTCACAGAATAAGATGTGGACACAACCCCTATATAAATATATATATATATCCCTATCTACGTTAGTATATTTGTTATAGACATTTTAATATTTAACATCGCTCAAAACAACATAATAAATAATCTAAGAATACAAACGCATTTCCAAAGGCTGCATTTAAGAGCCTGACGTTTCCTTGTATGTCCACTAGATGTCACTATTGTTCCAGCGCAGTAGAAAGGTTTTTAAGAAAGCAGTTTGCTTATAAATCTATGACATTAGATCTGAGGGGTGCATATTAAAGATGTGCAACGCAAATAGCCAAAAAAGTAACTTTAAATCAACTATAAACATACCCAAAACATTTTAAGTCACATTAATTTTGGAACTACATTGGCTTTTTCCCCCTAGAAATTCATGATTAGGTAGTTGTCCCATTTCTATTACATATTTAAGTGTCATATACACTACATTGTCAAAAGTATTTGCTCACATATTCAAATGATTAGAATCAGGTGTTCCAATTCCTTCCATGGTCCCAGGTTGATAAAATCAACCTCCAAGCATGCAGTCTGCTGTTACAAACTTTGTGAAAGAATGGGTCGCACTCAGGAGCTCAATGAATTCCAGAATGGAACTTTGAAAATATGTCATATGTGTCACAAATCAAGTTGTGAAATCTCCTCCCTCCTAAATATTCCACATTCTGCTGTCACCTGTATCGTTAAAAATGGAAGTATGTGGAAACAGCAGCAACTCAGTCACAAAGTGCTAGGCCATGTAAACCGATGGAGTGGGGTCAGCGGATGCTGAAGCACATTGTGCTCAGAGGTCGGCAAATCTCTGCAGATTCAGTCACTAAACACCTCCAAACTTCATGTGGCCTTTAGATTGCCCCAATCTTCATGGGATGGGTTTTCATGGTCGAGCAGCTGCATCCAAGCCATGCATTACCAAGTGCAATGCACATTGTTGGTTGCAGTAGAGTAAAACATGGCACCCCTGGACTCCAGAGCAGTGGATACGCATTCTCTGCAGAGATAGATCACAGTTTTCCATCTGGAAATATGATAGGTTTGGATGAATTTCAGTTTGGTGGTTATGGAGAAAGGTACTTGTCTGACCACATTGTGTCAAATGTAAAGATTGGTGGAGGAGGAATTATGATGTGGGGTTAGTTTACATGAGCTGGGCTTGGCCTCTTAGTTACAGTTAAAGGAACTCTAAATACTTCAGCTGACCAAGAATTCTTTTGGACAATTCCATTGATTCCTTTTCCGTCACGCTTATCCCTGCTGGGGTCACGAGGGGTACTGGTGCCTATCCCCAGCTGTCTACGGGTCAAAGGCGGGTTACACCCTGGACAGGTCGCCAGTCTATCGTAGGGCAACCCAGAGACAAACGGGACTAACAACCATTTACACTCACACCTAAGGAGAAGTTATAGAAGCCAATTAACCTAACAGTCATGTATTTGGAGGAAGCCGGAGTACCCAGAGAGAGAACCCACGCATGCTCAGGGAGAACATGCAAACTCAATGCAGAAAGGCCCCAGGCCAGGAATAAAACCTGTAACCTTCTTGCTGCAAGGTAGCAGTGCTCCACTGAGCAGCCCTGGACAATTCTATGCTCCTTAATATGTGGGAGCAGTTTGGAGCATTCCTCCAACCCCTTCCTCCAACATGACTGTGCACCAATGCACAAAGCAAGGTCCATAAAGACATGAATCTGGTGCAAATGAACTTGACTACACGGAGTACTGACCTCAACTCAATAAAACACCTTTGGGATGAGTTAGAGCAGGGACTGAGAGTAAATCCTTCTCGTCCAAATACAGTGTGTGACCTCACAAATGCACATCTAGAAAAATGGTCAGAAGTTACCAGAAATCTTGTGGAAAGACTTCCAATAAGAATTTAAGCAGTTCTAGCTACAAAGCGTGGACCAACATCATATCGAGCCTCTATGGATTAGAGATGGAATGTAATTTAAGATCATGTAAATAAAAGCAGGTGAGCAAATTAATTTGCTAATTTAGTGCACGCTCTATGAGGTTTACACCTGAATGTTGAGTCAGGCTAAAGTACTGGATTATTAAGGAAAATCCAGCTAAGATTCAATGGTACCCTTGAATGAGCTTCAGAAATTCTCAGCAGGATAATTGGTCAACACAACAGCTATTTTACTAGCAATGACAACACTAAAACTTAATATGAGTTTAAAGGTTTATTGACTAAATAGGGGATGATGAAACGGAATAAAAGAAGCAGGGACGAGGGTATGGAAGGATGTAAAAATGAAGGGATTAAAGGATAAAGGGATGAGGGGTAGAGAAATGAGGGAGAAGAGAAGATGGATGAAGGGATGGGGGATGAAGAGATGAGGGATAAAGGAATGAGGGGTAAAGAAATGAGGGAGAAAGGGAAGACGGATGAAGGGATTGGGGATGGAGGTATGAGGGATGAAGGGATGAGGGATGGAGGTATGAGGGATGAAGGGATGAGGGATGAAGAAATTAGGAAGGAAGGGATGAAAGGGTAGGGGGTCGCTAACATCTGAGGAGTAAACAGTAGGTATGAAGATCTTTGTATGGTGGTATGATTTCCTGAAGGATGCGTTTCTGGTTCATTTCTGTGAGCCTGCACTGAACCCCCAGATGGACCCTGCAACTGAGAACAAGGTGAGGTAATGAGATGAACAGAGAGAGGAAAGGGAAAATGGGTGAAGGGAGGGTGGGGTTGATGAATCATAACAGACTGAGAGGAAAGGATGAGTGGCGTATAAATAGAGTAATACATAATTGGAGGAGTGCTTTGGGTGTGGCCCTGCTCCTAAACTGAAGTTAACTCCATTAGCTGTGCACCCCACAGATCTTGCCATTAAAGAACAGTGGTAAGAAAAAGAGGAAAGTCCTGTTTGTAAATTGGCAGAAGCCATAGAGGTGAAGGAATAAAAATGTTGTTGGGGGCCTGGTCAAAGAGGACAAAAACTGACTCATTAGCCTGTATGCAAAATGCTTTTAATGATGGGAAATTGATTGCACCTCAATGTAACCAATACAATTGTATTGTTTAATGTAGTGGTTATGGCATCATGCAATGGGAATATTTTCATTTAGCATCTCATTAGCATGAATAAAGGGCAATCCTAACAAAAAACCCAGGTTTCAGAAAAATTGACTGGGGTGAAGCCCTACCTTCCATTGGGGTAAATTAAAGCACACAGCCAGAGCCACAATTGAATTGTATTGTTTGAGGTAGAATGTCACTTCTTCATTAGACTGTTTTACATCAACAACTTTTCTCAATAAGCTTCCCCAGAACCACTGAAAGACTACTACAGGAGATCCTTCCTGCCACCTGTGTCTGCAGCAATTATATACAGAAACCCCTATAATATTAGTACCAATTATATTTAATCTCCTTTTGGTCATAATAAAGTATTTCTGAACTAAATTAAGTATTAATGTGTTAGAGTAAGACCTCACATCTAATTTCAAAGGAATACTACTGCAAGGTAAACTATGCAATTTAAACTTCTTTCAGTCTTGAGCGGATTTAGTTTTCCATGTAGGTGTATCTTTATTTATTTTTTTGATCAAACATGTTTTGCATGTATAATCTATGGTAAACATTCACCTGGGAGTAAGATTTTATTGCTACAATGCCATGCTACTTTGTCTTAATTTAATGATAATCTCTTTAAGTCAAATATATTCCCATTTTGTGTGGCATATAACCATGACTTACTAAAAAAACTGTTATTACAATGGTACTGTTGACTTACAGGATTAAATGGATGAATCTCTAAGTTGTGTGTAATTTATGCTTTTTTTTTTTTTTTTAGAAAAAAAAAGCAATCAAATCAAGTCAATGTTAAACATGACTCACTTCACCACAAAAACAAATACAGACAGTTGCACAAAAAAAGAGACTCTCAACATACAACTTTTAATCATCCAGGAGCTTGACATTTTCCCATCATTAATTTCAATAAAGGGCACCCTGACAGATTTTGTCACCTGTTAAGATGCTCTTCACATCATCAGTCTAAATTTCTGTAAACTCTTTGTCAGCCTCCTCTAGAGAATACAAGTCATTCAGCTGTTAATGTTGCCAACCGTGTCCTTTGTTCCATCTCAAATGTGAGGTGGTAATTAACTGACGTATTGTAAACTTGGTCATGCAAGTTTGAAATTTGATAGATATGAAAGTTGCTCATCCAAAGATAGCACAATGGTCACGTCTAACTTCTTCTTTTCTTCAGTATATATGTTTTCTCTTTTTTTGTTGATAACTTGCTGATAGTTAGATTAGAAAGTGATTGACGGGCAAAGCTGCTTTATGTCAATGTTTAGAGTGGGACCAAAAAAATTGTCTCTTTATAACGCAAACTGTCAACTACCATAAATAAGCTATCAGCAGTTTAAGTAAAATAAAAGGAGTGTAGAAATAGTATTTATCAAATCCATGATATAACTGTCAATTCTCTTTATTAGCATATATTCCTAATGTTTTCATAATCAATAGATATGTTTAGGTGTAAGTGCTATTTTCATTTCCTTTTTTAGTTTAAAACACATTTGTCTAACTTCAATAGTGTCCACTTTAGTCGTTTCCATTTTGAAAAGTAACTTTGGGAATTACTGACTGACATCACATTTACAGAGTAGGAGGAAAACAGTAAGTCACTGATTTGCAGTTAAAGTCAGGCCAATGTTTAAATGTAAAATGTATTCATGTACAGTTAATATGAATTGTTTTGTACGTCAGTAAGTTTGGGCTGGTGATTTTTTTTCTTTCTTTATGAAAAACAG